TAGCATGCGTTTTATTATTGACAGTTTTGTAACTCTGCAGTCAAAGAAGCTAGAGTGCATGTGCGCATGATTTACGCCAAATGTTTGAGTAAATGCATGTGGAAACAGTTCTCATGTCCTCATCATCTCACGCGCGGTTAAATTTGGCACTGACAATTCATACATGATACCCTTAATAATATGGGTACAATAAGGGCGATAATAGCCAACCTTAATTTGACATATATTTCTATCTACACAGCTAAAAGCATTTGCCCACAAAAAGCAGTGCAGCATGCGTTTTTGGTGAAAACTGTGCAAAAATGCATGTTTGCACCGGTAAGCCAGCACTACTGATTGGAATTTATGTTTATACGTTGGCTTTCTTTGGCTGAGAGTGATTGTTTTTTTTTCCTGGTTTTAGGATCAGAGCTTCATGCGTCCTACAAACTGAATTCAATTTTTAACTATTTTTTTTAACTTGATAGTTAGAAAAGCTACAAAATGAAATAGTGTGAGGTTGATTCTCAAATAATTTGCTACAGCAACCTGTAATCAGACTTCAGTTCATTCTGCTTGCTGAGGTGATCAGGAAAGCTGGTTCAGCATTTCAAGGACAAGTTATAAATTCAGCGCTGAAAACTTAAATGACCACATAAGACAAATTAAATGACTGGAAATCGATTATCAGACATCTAGTCCATACGTCAAAAGCAGGCTAATACCAAATTTCCAGACCGAAATAAGGCATAAATACGATATTTTTATGGCCCAGACTGTAGGGCAGACATTTCAGCAAACTGTTCCATGCGTTGGCCCATGCATCAGCTGGGCGTCCATGTTTGCTCTAGCTTGACTCGATGCCAGCTGGTGAATGAGTCAGTACACGATACGCCCCACTATTTATTGAAAATTGCCTCCTTAACGAAATTTTAACGGAAGTCACGTCCCTCTGCTGTACACATTAAACTTGAAAATCGTATGGTAGTTTTGCAGGGCGATTTTTTGTGGCTCGAACGGGGCTCGAGCAGTCGTTTTAGCCTCCCAACTGGAGCACGAATTGTACAAATTGAAGGTGACAAAATGAAAGTTCTGGATGATTATGGACAAGTAAGTGCTTGCCAAGTTTAAGTTTGCTTACTTTGCTATTTCGCACTGCTACTACTTCATTGCGGATTTCTTTTCTC